CCCCAAAACCCCAAAACCCCAAAACCCCAAAACCCCAAAACCCCAAAACCCCAAAACCCCGGATGACGGAGTGTAAATAGAATAAAAGTTTTATAGTAATTAATAAAAACACGTGTATGAGATCCATTGCTTTTACACTTTGCTTCGTGCTCATGCTTGCATGCTTCACTGAAGCAATTGACAGTCAGATCAACTTCAGGATTTATAGAAAGACCCTGCAGGACATTGTTGATAAAAATGCTCCATTGATTTCAGACTACACTAAGGCAGATCTTGGCACTGTAGATATCGGAGATATCACAGTTGAAGATGCCATGCTAAATATCTTTACTGAAGAAAATGAGTTTGAGAGCTCAATCAAGTTCATCGCTGATGAAGGCTTCCAATTAAGTATTGACGATCTTCTCTTTGAGCTCACAGGCAAGGTTGACGGAAAAGATTCTGTGCTTAGAGGAGATGTAGAATCTTTATTCGTCAAACTCTCTGTTAAGAATAGCGAGAAAGAAAGAGATACTAGTGTCAGATTTGATGCAGGATCTCTCCCTCAACTTGATATTTCTGACTACTCTGTAAAGACCAAGAGTGAAACATTTAAATGGACTATTGGGGGTGAAGAGAAAAATGATGCCAGCTTAATCAAGGCTACCTCAGTTTGGATAGACGCTGCTATTCAAGCAAACATGGGAATGATTAAAATTATTGTGAACTCAGCTCAGACCTACGTGGCTGATTATCTTACCTCTACTGTAGATGAGGATACCTTCAGAGGTTCACTCAGCTTTACCAAGATCATTTTCAATGAGGAATATGCTCAACTTGGTTTGACCAGCTCTTTTAAGGATGAAGGAGATGAGCACTTTGTTGAAAGAAGTGATAAAGATCTTCCAGAAGTTACTGACGATGAGAATGCTGCTGTTCAAATCTTATTTGATGAGAACATTATCAATTCTGGTCTCCATTCAGCATTCCATGCTGATGGAGAATTTGGACTTAGAGATATTCTTGGAACTGAAGACCCAGACAACGAATACGCAGACATGTTCAAGGCTGTCCTTCTTACCAACGTTATAGGACAGGGATGGAAAGAAATTCAGGATGAATACGGAGGAAGCAAAAGGTAATTTTTATTTTTAAATTCTTTAGAATCGATGCTAGATGTAGTTTCGGAAAAGGACTTTTTAAAGACTTGATTAAAAAGCTTGAGCCATCAAAAGTCAGATTCTTGGAAGGAAGCGAGATTGACTTCACTCTTGGATTCGGATGCTCAGTAGTAGTCGAGAAAGAAGTCGGAGTTTGGGACCCATTCAGATCTTTCTATGCCGAACTATATGCTAAATTATCTCTTGGAATCAACTCTAACGATGCCACTAAAATGCTTCAATTTGAAGGAGACGTTAAGGACCTCAAGGCAAAAAGGATCAAGATCTTCAAGAAGTCTGATCCAATGGTTGTTGAAGAGACTACCTTAACAATGATGGTCAACTTAGGATTAGGTATGGCTAAGTCTCAAGCCCAGACTTTGCTAGATATTCCTCAGATTGGATATCCAACCATTAAAAGATGCACTGGATTAGTCCTCTCCAACCCTTCTGTTGTTATTGAGGAAGGATTTGTATCCCTTTCTACTGATTTAGATGTCAGCCCAGCTCAGAAAGGATGTGATATTTTTGATAATATGGGTTTTAACATTTCAAGAGAAGATCATCCAACCAGATCAAAGGCTGAGGAAGAGCACACCGATGATTTATAAAGAACTAAATATTTCAGCATTCATTGCTCATTAAGGGGTTTTGGGGTTTTGGGGTTTTGGGGTTTTGGGGTTTTGGGG